TACACAGCGTGTAGTCAGAGTATGGAATAGTCTTCCTGATAATGTAGTGCAAGCTGAATCCTTGGGTTCCAGAGCTACTGTAGATAAGATTTTAACAACTCTGAGCTATTAGTTAAGTTCTCCCCAAGCGAGCTCGATGGGCTGAATGGCCTCCTCTCGTTTGTATAGTTCTTATGTTCTTAAGGCATTCAAGTAAGAATTGCATTGTAGTATGACTCATTTCCTGGCGCGTACAATTTATATTATGTCAGCGTTCACCGTTCGACTTCTGATATTCAGATCGAGTTCTAGGTCAAACTGGTTTGTTCGACTTTCAAGAAATTCGAGTTCTAGTGAGTTTGAGAACCGAGGTACCACTGTACTTGAATGGTGGTTACACCACCCTGACACTTACAAATAGTTCTGATATAAGATCATGCCAAACTAACTGATAGGGTGTTTTATTGAGAATTTCACCTTTTTAATGCAAGCTTAATTAGAGGTCATCGTTGACTTACAACTACTGTATGATCTGACTGACCCTACCTGGGGGTAGGGAAGGCCACAGGGATGAGTGTTATGGCTGGCCTGTACACTGGTAGTGTAAGTCCTGTGCAGAGTGGAGGGAGAACCTCCATGTTTTTCCCAGTTGATCCTGGGGTTTTCGAGGCGTGGGTTCTTGCTCCTGCTCCTGCTCTGTTCAATGCTTGCATGGACAGGGTGTTGGGCAGGGTCATGGGGTCCAACGGCTGTGGGGCATCTGTTGGTGAAGATGACTTTGCTGATGATGATGTGATCTTCACGGAGTCAATGGAGGCTCTGATCAGGGTTCTTTAGAGACTGAGTGAGAAGTCTGAGTGTCTGGGATTGCGAGTGTCCTGGATAAAAACCAAGATCCAGGCCTTTAATGACTTCTTAGGCACAGCCATCAGTAGCGTGTGTCTGCAAGTAGAATGTCGACCTCATGGAGAGATTCACTTACATTGGCAGCGATATTCATGTCTCTGGTGACTCTGAAGTCAGTAGACGGATTGGGAGAGCATAGGAGGTCATGAGGTCGCTGGAAAGGGGTTTGTGATGCTCCTGATATCTTTGCAAGAGAATGAAGGTCCAAGTCCTTAGAGTCCTGGTGCTCCCTGTCTTGTATGGCTGTGAGACATGGACACTATCCAGTGAGCTGAGACTAAAGCTGGACTGCTTCAGTACTGTGTCTCTTCAAAGAATCCTTGGGTACTGCTAGTTTGACTTTGTGTTGAACAAGTGGTTTGCTAGAGGAGTCATGAATGAGGAATATTACCTACATTGTGAGGGAGCGTCAGCTACGGCACTATGGCCATGTGGCACGTTTCCCTGAGGGTGATCTGGCTAACAGGATCAGCATTGCTGAGGACCCGATTGACTGGACCAGGCCAAGGGGACACCCATGTAACACCTGGCTGAGGCAGATGGATGGCCATTTCCAGAGGGTAGGACTGGACCATGTGTCTGCTTGGGGGATCGCCTGAGGTGTTTCATCATGTGGTGGGTGCAGCAAGGCACTGCATCAAAGCATGCTACCCAACCTGACCGGACCTGCTGGGGCTAAAGCTCACTCTGGGCAACACTCGAGGTGCCAGACACAGCGCAGTCATGGCCACATATTTGCTGTTTCAGAATGGTTGTAAAGTCGAACAGCCGCAAGTCGCATAGGTCATAAGTCGACGACGACCTGTATTTGGTACAAAGTTTTCACAATTACACACCATTTTTGCCATCATACTCCAAATATTTTGTCAGAATCAATTAACAGAAACTTTGGACTTTTAGACTAGGTCTTAGACTTGAAGAAATTTTAGACTTTAAAAAGAATGCATGTAATTCATACATTTATTTTCAAATTCTGATGCCTTCCAATTTAACCAAACCATATGGATACACACACAAAAATAGCATTACACCCTTGACCCATATGTACAGCTCAATATTGCAAAAACACATATTTAAATTTAGAAATAATCCTACTAAAATCTGTTTTTATGTGACATTTTAAAATGAAGTAATTATTTTTATGAATACATGTACATACACTCTTGGTCAGGAGTGGGCAATCTTTTCCTCAAAGGGCCAGTGTGTATACAGGTTTTTCAGATAACCTTTAGGTCAGCTGTTCAATCCCAGGTGTCAGGACTCCCGTAACTAGTAATGTAATTATGGAGTAGCAGCAAAAGCCCTCGTAAATAACGGCCATTTCTGGATGAGTCCCCTCATTCTTTTATGATTACACGATTTGACGTCTTTAGGAGCATTCAGTCTTACCTTTATAAAAGAAAAAATAAATATATATATATATATATATATATATACACACACACACACACACATATACATACACACACACACACACACACTCACCTAAAGGATTATTAGGAACACCATACTAATACGGTGTTTGACCCCCTTTCGCCTTCAGAACTGCCTTAATTCTACGTGGCATTGATT